AGGATTATTACCAGAAAGTCAAAGATATATTACAAGATTTGAATGTTATTATGATCACAATCTTGATCCTGATAAAATGGTAGAAATGCTTATTCGAGCTGAAAAGAAAAATGTACCTGATTTTATTACTGCATTTAGTGATTATCTTAGTCAGGCTAGCAATATTCAGATTTTGATCCAATCTGGATTCTTTAATAATAATTTTATTTCTGCTTTTCTTAATCTGAAATTAATGAGACCCTCTATGGCAGGGTGATACTCTACCGATCTAACTAGTCCAAAGTAGTGATTGCTAGCTCAGGAGATTTTTTGCTAAGCCACATGTAGTATTCTTGTGTAATAAAAATATGCAGATCACTGGTCAGGTTTATGTGACATATTAATTTTCATATTGAAAAGAAGTTATATGCTAACTAATACCTCTATTTTTCTCCTAAACAAATGTGAGAAAATGTAAAAAGAAGGTTATATGCAATACAGGACTAACTCTAAAAGTAAATAGTGCTGAAAAAAGCATATGTTATGAAGGGCTGAGATTTTTGGAATTTTGAGATTGCTAGGCGTAAAACTAACTATATGTCTTGCAAGGTAGATCTACATATGAAAAGGTATAAAGATTTTATTTGCATATGCCTTCATAGATCTCTTGGCATTATATAATAATACTAATTATGACTTATACCTCCTTAATTTTAGCTTAGCATTCTTTCTCCCAGCAAGATATAAAGCATGTAGGAGTATGTGGAAATTCAGCCAACTTTCCTGTGAAAAATTAAGGTATGTATATGCTAGAAGTTATGTATGTATAGGAGCAAAGTGTAACGTAAAAATACTCACTATAGGCTCTTAAATTTAGGAAACTTGCTACATAATGACTGATAACAATAATAATAATAATAACAATAGTATCAATATTACTCTTAATTGTCTTATCGTTCCCATAGAGAATCTCTTCAATCTTCTAAACAATCAAGTAGCTCAAGTAATTACAATCAATACAAATCAAAGGGTTAGCAGACTTGAAAATATAATTCAAAGCTGATTGGAGCTACCATTTGATAATCTTTATCTAACAATTTGAGAGATCCATTCTGAAACAGTTAATGAAAGGCCAATAGACTCTCAAACCTTTATTTTCATTTTTTTTAATAATCAATCTCTACCCCAAGTGAATCACTTCTATGTCACCATATATTCTACATAATTTTAGTATTATGTAGTGAAATATTCGCATTTTTTTATATATTGTAAACCAGTTACTAGCAACGATTTATTTTATAAATAAAGTATTATTTTACCAGTATATTGAGAAAGCAGGTCACGTGTAATGATGCAATGTCTGTACTATATAAAAACTTATATTAACGCTAAGTAATTTCTTTTCTGAACAGAAATAAATTTTTATCTCACTCTAGAACATAGCACTATTTTTTGTTTGAATCCAATATCTCTATAAAAATGAGCATGATTAACATTTTGCAGATCAATCACATGTATTACTGTAAATTTTTATATTAATTTTATATTAAAATTTAGTGTTACTATAAAAGTTGGTAGCAAGCCACCCGCAGGTAAAAAAAATTACTAAATCATTACTCTCATCAATATATAACGAAAAAAAATGTCTAATCTACATAATCCCATAAGTTTACTAGTAGCAGAAATACTTAATAGATTGTTCTAAATTAGTTGATAAGTATGTTGTATATTAACAAGTTAAAACTAATAAAAGAATTCGAAGAATCTTTCCAAAGGTACTTAATAAAGCAAAAGGTGATAATATTTATCAAACTTTTTGTTTCCAATTAGCTCTTAATGATGTCATTTGTAATTCTTGCTATTGTAAGGTGATTGAACATGATACATATCAAAAATATAGAAAAAATTCTCATACAAATATTACTAAGTATTATAGAACTTTTTCAGAACTAAAATTAAGGAAAAAATGTATGACTATAGATATAAATGCCTACCAAACGCTTGTACAGAAGATAAATTCAGTGGAACAACTTGAATCAGAATTAAGTGAATTGAAAATTCAATTAAAAAATCAACAAAACATGTTAAGTAAGAGGATGTATTTTTAATATAGGATTGGGTAAAATATGATGAGATTGTATTATATTTATTAAAATTTTATTTATTTCATTAAATATTACGAATCTTTCTAATCAATTTAATCAAATAGTTTAGCGAATGACTATGGTATTATATAACCTTTAATATAAAGAGAATCAGCCTTTTATAGTTAATTCAGATGAATTTATTCAAGTGGTTGAGGACTGTGATCTAACTTTATGTGGATTTTTTAATGTTTTATTTCAATCAATAAACCCTACAAGTAAAAACTTTCAAACATAACAACAACTAAAAAAGAAAATTATTATTTTATGTTATCAATTAGCTAAATTAAGAAATAAATATGTATCTGAAGTAAAGGAAGCTACAGGATTATTTTTAATAGGAGCAGGCATATCAGTAATAGGTATTAATGCGTTAAATAATGCAAGACTTACCGTTAATTATCAAACTATTTGAAGGTCATTTTCAAAAACATTAAATTAATACAAGGAAAATCTTAAATTATATTTTTATGAAAATGTAAATATGTAATTGAAATGTGTTTTAAAAATTTAAATTCAAACTTTAATTAATAAAATATTTGCAATTTTTTTATTTTTTTAGCAAAATAATATTCTGATATTAAATATTGATGACTATTATGATTCATACAGTCTGCGAATACCTAATATAATTTCTTCTAATCAAATAGCACATATGGCAACTATTTTAATTAATACTATAAAAGTACCTGCTATTCCTTTTTTTTCTACCAATAATTTTAGTATACATGAATCTGGAATGGTAAATTCTTTATGATTAAAACAGATTTTGCAAATTAAAATGAATCACCTTGATCTTAACTATAATCAAAGAAAATGTTTCTGGCCAATAATAAAGGATTCTTTAAATAAATCAGAAGAAGAATTAATAGACTCATTAATGGTTCACTCTTATGATCCTAATATGGTTACAAAAAAAGTTCAGCATTTAAATAATACTAAACTTGTAGATTTTATTTCATTAAATCTCAAGAATACAAAAGATTATTTAAATGCAATAGATAAATTAATCAGGTTAGTTTTTTTTATTTATTACTTAAACATTATAAATTCTATATTAATTTTTTTTTTAATTTAGAATTACTGAAATTCAAGAATATCTTCATAATTATATTATTTTTATACTCGTAAATTTTTCGGGCTAACTTTATATTCATCATGCTATTGTTTATAAATTAAAAATGGGAGAACAAACAAATATTCTACATGAAATTCTTCATTTTGTACCATTACTTAGACCATTATATGTTTCACTAAATACTTGTAAAACATGTTTACTTACTTTTCATCCATTTTTTAATGCATTATATAAAGATGTATTTCAAAAGAAACATGATCTTGCAGCAAAACCAAAACCTTGGCGAGTTAATTTACTTTTATATATTACTCATGCTGGATAGTTATTTATACATTTTAATATTCTTTCAAAATTTAAAAATTCAAAGAATATAGATTTTTGTATTATTCTTAACTTATTAGATAATATTATATCAGTAACACTTGATATTTATGCAACACTTTTTCAGAATAATCATTCTTATCAATATATTAAAATTATATTTCAGCTTTGGACTATTATGAAAAGATTTAACAGAAAAAATTATGATAAAGCTATGCTTGCATTTTTATCTGATTTTTTTTATTGGCATATACATCAACATCTTATTTTAGAGATTTTTAATAATTATTTGAATTTTTTAGATGAATATCTTATAGAAAATTTTCATTCTCGTTTACATCGTTATACTTCAGGAATTCCATCAACAACATCAGAAAAACTTTATTGGAATACAATTTTTATTGATAAAAATCGAAATAATTCTTTTAGAACTAATTTTGCTAATATACGTACCTATCTTTATACTAAAAAAATTGATTATTTGGTAAAGCGTACAGTAATATTTTTATTAAATTCTTTTTCTGAGATTTGGAAAAGTGATGGATATGTTGAAATCAAATATGATACAAAAAATAAAAAAAAATTGTATTTTTTAAAACTATTTACTAAAGGATTTGTATTTAATATTCTTCCTTCAGATTATCATTCAAAATCATAATCACGTAATGACAAGTTTTGTGATTAGTGGAGTTGTAATAATTTTTCAACAAATGATAGATTTGTTTTAAATTGTGGTTATGCATATCATACTCAATGCTTTGCAATTGCAGAATACAAATGTTATTATTGCTTTAAATATTTTTCTGAAACAATTAAAGAACTTTCACAATTATATAATGAACGATTAAATTTTAATGTTAAAGAAAATGATGATATTGAAAATGAAACAGATTTTACACAATCAGATGATATTGAATTAGATGAGGCTGAAGAAGTACAAAATAACATAATGATTAATAGTTTATTACAACAAGCATTATCAGGTTAAACATATTTATTATTTATTTGAAATTGTGAAAGATTGTAATTTTAAATAACATTTTATTTATTTATTTTATAGAATTTAATCAAATGACTATACAGTTTACTTCTACTTTATCATTAAATTCGAATATAATGGCTGATATTACAAATATTATATAAGCATAAATTCTATGCTAATATAATAAAAGTTTGAATCACTATTGATTATAATGTGATGTTTTTATGTTTTTGAATAAATTATAATTGCAATAAATGTTTTTTTTGAAATTGCTTAAAAATAAATTTATAAAAATAATGTTTATTTTATTTTCATGCAAATTCATGGTTTTTAAATGAAATAAAGTAAAAAAATACCTTTTTTAAAAATTATAAATTAAAAACGATTTAATATTAATATAAAAATTGATGATTTTGATTGGTTAATAATTTCTTATTTGATTGATGTCGATCAATCCATATTGGGAATGTTAACCATGCTATAAAAATGTAACACTATGTCTGAAACTAGTACACCTTATACTCCAGCTTCCACCTCTATTTCTGTTGCTGGAAATGAGACGGTCACGCTGGCGGACGATATTAAAAAATACGACACGACCAAGCTTATAGATTTCTTGCGTGGGGAGATAATTCGCAAGAGGAAAATTAATGGCCGTGCTTTTCTCAAGACGAGCAAGGAAGACTTTGAGCGTTATGGTTTGGAAGGAGGACCCGCGACAAATCTTGCCGACTTCGCTAAGGAGTGTAAGGATAAAAAATTAAAAGCGTTCTCCTCGTACAGGAGTTTGAAGGAGGTGTTAAAAAAGTATGACATAGATGGTAATGGTATAGGCACGATCCGTCAATTTCCACCGAGTAAGTTTTTAATACAGTTATTCTTAACATTTAGTACACATTTAAGACTTATTTTTTTCCACTCGAATTCTAAGCAACTTATCCACTCAAAGATGAAGACGAAGAGTGCAACAATATAAAGCGTAGATTGGGAAATATGGGGACTATGCTTGCCGATAGCAATGAAGCCATGCGTTGCGAGTATATTTCGACCATTCTTCACGCTTCGCTCTATATCGTCAAAAGAATAACCAAAAAAGAGCTTACCTTGGCACCTCAGCTCGAAGTTTTCGGCGAAGAAAGTACTGGTCGAGTTGATTACGCAATCAAAGCCCTCGAGGAACTTATTTGCATCACGGAAGGGAAGCTACATCAAGTAGTTATGGGTTTCGCTCAGAATTTGATCCAATGCGAAAGTGCACTACAGGTGAATAAGAATAAGAGAAAACGTAAGTCGGGTGAAGCATTTGGGGATGACTACGACTATATCTATGGGATCGTTACAACAGCCACGGAATGGTATTTTATTTTATTTGCCTCGGATGATATTTCGTACGAGTAAAAACCCACTCAATATACGGTTCAGCGAGTCTGCATTGAAAGAAGGTTCGGAGGAAGAAAAAGAGTTGCATAAGAATGTGAAGCGAGTAATGGAGGTTATCGTAGGATTATTAAAGGATAGGGTAGACGTAGAGAAGGAGCCGGCGATGAAGAAGCAACGGGTTAAAGGGTATTTCGAAAAAGAATAATTATGTATAATAGTCCGCCATCAGTAGCAAAGAAACTTCGTCGTGTATCCCGGGCTACGTCCCGAACATTTGTATTTATTTTTCGCATGTAATAATAAAAAATTTTTTTCTTGGCAAAAAGTGATCGGCGTTACAATTTGTAACGCGTACGTGATTTTTTATTTATTGGCCATCAGGCCACATATCCGCCGATCTGCATTGCATATCGTACTTTTGGTTATCAGGTGTTTCTTGAAGGTGAGGTGATATGAATCACGTCATCCATGCAAGTTGGAACTCTCTATCACCCGAATAAATGTCAATTTTTTATAAAAGGCACCATTCATTTCTCCTTTTTTCTTTTTAACATTCAATCAATATTTAACAATGATGCTTAAATTTAAATCTCTTATTATTATTGTACTTATTTTAACAAGCTTCACGCACACACCTTTTGCCATTCCAATTAAACGTCAAAATTGTGATAATTATAATATATACGATTTTGGACTTAAAATTGGAGTTACATCTCTTTTATGCTCAACTGATGCTCTTGATATTTTAGAAAATTTTTGTTCAATTCGTATGGCTCCATGCATGTCTGCGATAGTTGTTGGTGGTTTTCGGGTTCAAGGTGAAGAATTTAGTTCAAGTAAATGGACTAATAATGGTCAATGTGTAGATGGAGGGGGATATACCAATGTAACTGACGCATGGTATTATGATGATGAACGTGGGGGATGGCTTTGGGGTGGTGTAGCAAGTAGATGGGGACAAAGTTGTACCCCATAATCGTTATATATCATGTATCACTGGGGTGTTCGGTCAACATAGTTTAACAAAACTATTGTATATAGTCCTATAGTAAAATTTACTATAAACGATTTGTTGTAATTCCGATATAAACATCAAAGTTTAAATTTTTCTTATAATTAATCTCTCACTAAATCGATGCATTTTCATACTTTAATAACACTAAACTCTTCCCAATATCTTCGCTCCAAATTTTACAAAAATGTCCTAAATCATTATCTCTTTTATGTAACAGCTCGATTTTTCAAAAAAATATCATTTACACCTCAAAAAATAATAAATAAATCTTTTTGAACACAGCTCTCCAATAAAAAATTTTTTTCTTTGGATTTTTTTAAAAAAGCGAGTGTCATGTTGTTTTCTAGTTTATAATGTATTCATTTATAGTTTTAATTCATTTGAATACCAAAGTTATTAAACATTAAAGATTTAGGATTTTTTATTGGGAAGAATTCCTTTAACTTCAAGTCTTGTCCGTCAATTAAAAAAAGCTCGTGAAGCACAAGCTAAAAGTTGGAGGTAAAAAAAATGACAAAAAAAGAAAATCAATGAGGTTATAAATGGAATGGATGAGGCAAATCTTGACAATACCTTAAATCTGATGACAAAATTACCAAAATTAAGCAAAGAACAAACTCAATTAATTTTTCAGTTCAACAATTATCCGAAGAAGAAGTTCCAGCAGCAAATAACCTTATTAAAATTATGCATTATCCTAAAGGTCTGAATGAAGGCAAACTTATTTCTCCCTATCTTCAAAATAAAGCAAGAGAATATATTTCTCAAACTTTTTATAAACACAAATACACATATCAAGAATTACAAACATCAAATACAAAACTAAAAATTGATTGCAAAAAACTTCATCAATAAAATCAAACTTTAATTAAAAAAACACAATCTCTTGGAATACAAAATATGCATTTTGTCAATCAAAATGCAAATCGTATATCTAAAATTTGATCATTAGCTTGACGTTCACAACAAGTCACAAATACAACCTTTCAAAAAAAGCTAAAATCTATTTTTCAAGCAAATAAACGAGAGTATGCATCTAATACTATTTGGCTTGCAACCAGTATTTCGCAAATTGGTCAGATATCATTACGTTCTACAGTAGAATGTATGCAAGTAATTTATAAATTTTCTAATTAGAAAGCCACCACAAAATTGGATAACATTATCAACATTGTGCATTTAGCAGCAAGATATTTCTACATTACATACTAATGCTCAAATTCATCAGGTAATTATGGCACTGTCATTTGGAGTCTTAGTTGACAAATCTACACAAGGTGAAGCAAGTACTTTATTTTATGTTATCAGTTTTGGAATCAAAAGGATCAAGTATCTGTTGTAACTGTAGTTCATCTTGAGGATATTCCTAGTTATAATGCAAATACTGTATCTAATACTGTTATAAAACAATATAGCTTGTCTTTTGATAAATGTGCATTATAGGTAACAGATAACACAGCCTATATGTCAGAAGAAAAGAAAGGAGCTATTATTCTCTTTAATAAAAAAAATGACACAAATTCAATTTGAATTGGATGTGCACTTCATATAATTCAAATTATATTAAATAACTTTGAACAAAAAGCATTTAGAATAATTTCAAATAGCACTGGTTTCTCAAGAAAACCTCACATATACAATTTACTTTACTTAGCTTGAAAGCTACATAATGATTATAATTCAAGTAATAAGAATAAACCACTCAATATTAATGCTCATATTATCCAAGAGTTATATGATAGATTATTAGGATTTCACTACAATCAGTATCAATTACCTGTCTGTTCTCGTTAGGATTATGAATTATAAATAGTCAAATAATATCTTGATTATCATTCTGCCCATATTGAATTTATATATTAGTTTATTAAAGAATTGGAAAAGTATAAAAAAATGCTTAAATCTTATCTCAATGATTGGTATTTTTTTAAAACTTGGCTTTCTGATCCCAAATTAAATATTCAAGTTAAATGCTTAGTCAACTTTGCCAAGAATTTTTATGAATCTCTAATGCAATTTATAATAGGATAAGATACTACTCTACGATTATATGAAAATAGACAATTAATTGCATTACCTCCAGGTCGACGTGCTCATGAATTATTAGATAAAATTTTTGAATGGTATGAATTTCTCCAAAATCTTACTAGTAATTTTGATATTTTTTTTTTAGATCAGCTTTTAGAAGCTGTAGATGTGTTATCCAATAAAGAATTTCAAATTTTATTTGATAGTTTAGAGCATAGAATTACAAAAGCCTTAGAATTTTTTCAAAAATAGTTTTTATCATGGCTTCATTTACTATTAGCAGTTTGCCAGCTTAAAGGAAATAATACATAATCATTTGCATCTAGCTTTTATTATGTGATTCTCTAAAAATCTTAGATCTCTTCACCTTCTGATTTGAAATTGCAATTTGCTCAGGATTTGGAAGATGACAAAAATAATGGAATAACAAATGACTTTGGTTGAATAAATTATTATGTCAAAACAGTAGTTTTCTTGAAGAATTTATGCAATTTTGCATTTGTGACGATCTAATATATCATTTTTCTACTATTTATAATTCATTAAGAATCATATTTATTATATGGGGCCTTTGCAATAGAAAGGGAGGAAACTCCAAAAAAATTAAAATTTTAGTTTATAAGCCAAAAATGTTCCAAATACTATAATTTGTTCAGATTTATTATTAACTCATTTTTTATTTTTTTTTGAGTTTCCTCTCTTTCTATTACAAAGACCCTATATTGTCATCTACTAGCAGCAAGTCAAAGGTCTTTTTAACAAGCTTGATCTGAAAATACATGCAAACATATTATTATCAATGAAACAATCAAAGCTTTATTTGTCATCAAGCAAGATCTCAAAAGAAAATTAAGCTAGTGAGTTAAAAGAGATGTGAAAACAAAGAAATGAAATAAAAAAAACTCTACTTAGAAAGCACAATTTCAGCTATCTGAATCTGATATTGCATTAAAGATTTTTAAACAATTAATTTGTAATAGTAGTTAAAGCTGTAATTTGTATTATTATATACTATAAAATAAATTAATAATATTGTATAATATATCATGATTAATTTATGAACTGGAAAATTAACCAGTTTTCAAAGTAATTTCAGTTTAAGACACATTATATTTTATGTAATATAAAAAAGATTCAATAGTAAATTTTACTATAGGATTATATATAGTTTTGTTAAACTATGTTGACTGAATACCCCAATGTATCACAGAAAATGTCCCAATCCTTTGTATTTATTTTTTTTGCATGTATTAATAAAAATTTTTTCTTGGTAAAATTTTACTAACGAGGGATGGATTTCCCATCACAAAATTAATCACATAATTTCTTATTTTAAATGATATATTATTAAAAGTATTTTTTCAAAAATAGAATTCTGAGTTTGAATTATTAAAGCAATGTATTGCTGACCTTAAGGCTGAATACGTTGAGCTTAAGAGTGAGAATACAAAATTGAGGCAGATTAATGAAGAAAATGCTAGACGTGATGCCAGAATTGAAGAGTTAGAGAATAATTATGCAGATATTTCAGCTGAAAATGTTAAACTTAAGGTTAGAGTTACGAAATTAGAATCTTGTTCTAGACAATTACAATGATTCTTCTCCTAAAGATATGATACCAGAGGTATCAGCTAACGTTGTATCCAATTCTGTATTAATCTAGGCTAATAATTAAGTAAGATGAGTGCTTAGTGATAATACCAATACTGAGTTATTAGAAGGTAAGAAAACGGATGCTTTCTTGAATGAGGTATATAAAAGTATTAGTGATGGAATAAGGTGATATAATAAAGAAAAAAAACTCCAGCGTGAGTTATCTAGCCAGGACTTATCTTCTTATTACAAAAAGTTTCAATTATATAAGAAGAAAGAAGCAGAGAATATTATGCAAAATGTGTTTGATTTTACTATGGATGAATCAGTCTCAAAGATATCATCAGAGAAAAATCATATGATAAAGTTTTCATTGACGGAAAGTGATTTTCCTATCAGTGAAAATATCATGAGAAAATTTTCACGACTATACTTTCTGTGTCGATAAGTAAAATTTTGCTAAATTTGGTCTGTTTATATCAGAAAGCTTGTGATGCAGAAAAGCAAATAATAAAGGCCAATCAAGATGAAATTTTTTGTTAATATAGTTACATTGTTGAATTTGATAACCAATTAAAAAATATAATTAAAAATGATAAAGTGTAATGAGAAAAAAGTGAAAAGGCAAATCTATGATTTTATTATTACGTAACTCAGTACTAAATGAAACACATTACAGAAGCAAACTCAGAGAACTAAAAATATTTATAGGTTAATCGAAAAATAGTATTGATATCAAAACATATAGTTCAAATTCTATTACAGAATTATCCAATAGTCAAATTCAAACTATTATTAATTATTTCTTCAAGAATTCCAACACTGAATTACCAAATGATCAGGGTGTCTCTGACATAGATTTCGAATAGGAGATTTCAGATGATCAGGATAATATATTAGACAAGCAAGTAAACTCCTTAGTTTCAGTAATGCAAGTCGAAAATGATTTTGATAAAATGAAAATGGAAGTTTTCAAGAAGGAAGAGGCTAGGATAGAGAAAGAAAGAGAGAACAAGATATCATCAAATGTAGTAACTCTAGCTAAGGTAAATGTCTATGATAATGTATATTTTGATGATGAATTTGATCGTAATCTTTCAAATCCCATACTTTGGTTAGATAAAGGAACAAACAAAATTGAAACAGAAAATAATAGCAACTATAGTAGTCATAATAGTGATTCTGAAGAAGAGATGCTAGATGATTCAGATGATAGTGTCATCAGGTTCATTTTTGTTTATCTTAATGTCTAAGTTGAAAGGCTACGGTAGCTGATTCTACACATTGGAGTTTTCAACCTTAGAATTTTCTCTAAATCCTACAGGTATCCGTTATACTTGAATCAACTCAACAATTTATCACGTTTTAGAATTTAAGATATGTTAGTCGAATTCTAATGACGAATTCAATAGCAAATTAGTGTAGTATATCACAATAATCTTAGATGAAGTACAACGTTGAAGGAAAAAGTAGTTTATATAGATTTAAATTGATTTCTTTATTTATAACTTGAAACTCGCAAAAGAGTTAATAAACTTGTAGAGGAGTTAATTTATAACTTAAGCAAAAAGCTATTCTATTTATACAAAATTAATTTGCTACAGCTAATTATCTGTTACACTATAAATTAACTAAATATAGATACATACTTCAATAAGAATATAATAAAATAATAAATATAATATAAACTATAAAAATAATAAAAAGAAATAAAATAAATTACAGATGTTAAAGAAATTATAGACAAAACAGAACTCACGTGATATTTGGAGTTACAATTTCTTCCGTTGACAATGGATATAATGGATATGATAGATATGATGAACATAGTGGATGTGATAGAGGCTATTATTATTATAACGGAAGATATGAAAGAAAAAGCTTATCAATGATGTGTCCTATTATCTTTCTGGTAACCGCCTAAGAGAATTATCACATATTCGCATAATTCATTTCTTTTTTCAAATCATATAGGATTTAGCTATCGAAAGTATATCTTGCATAGTAATACCTCATTAACATTATTAGTCAGTAAATCCTAATTTTATTAGCTAAAAGTGTGAAGAGTTTTCACGATTATTATATGATATAGCATATATCATATACTATGTCTTGAACTTTTTGCCTTAAAGAAAAAAAAGCTAGAATAGAAGAAAAATAATTGTGTATAATAGTTTACAGTCATAGAATGGTATCATATATCTAAGGCTAGCCCCGCTCTATATAATTTATTTTATCTCAATGTATTATAAATAAAAAACATTTAAAGTACTGAGTGACCTGTGAAATATAGTCAATTATTTTTCTTGTAGCAATCTTTTAAACTGTATATACTAATTTTTTATTGCTCAAGCGTATATATATATTAATACAGGATAATTTAGAAAATCTGAATCTGCAAATTATTAATTTTCAGCAAAGATCTAAGGACTTCATGTTTTGCAATGATCATAGCTCTTAACTGCTAAAGGGTTTTAATTATAAAAACTGAGTGTATTGAAGGAGAACAGTTTCTAGTAAGAAAAAAAATCAAACCAAATAACTTTCACGCATTTACAATCGAAATAAAATTCTGCGCATACTCTCAAAAACTCTAACAATCTCACTTGAACTAATTTCTCATCTATTTTCGCAAAATGCTTTCAAACTCTAATATGTTTTTGATTGTACTTTTTTGCATTGTAATTATAATCTATGAAATGCTAACCTAAAGTGTTCTAATAATAGAAATGCTTTAAGGCATTTTTTCAGAGAATGCTATAATATATATAATCTTTGTGGTGGAGATTATATTTTTATATAAATATTTATCTCTAGCTCTGGTAAAATTACAAGTTGTCAAACTCAAAAAATTAATATTAGCATTAAATAATAAAATACAAAAAATGAAAGGAAAAGCAGAATGGGATCATGTATCGCAAAGTAATAAATATTCTGATTTTCTGATTATCTTTTTGCATATATTCTCAATCATAAAGAGATACTAACTTTTTTATTACCTATTATTAGATACATCTCGATTTTCTTTTGGTCGTGTATCTACCAGTCAATATTCAAAATATTTCAATGAAGTCCAAACTTTATGGGTAGAATTCACAGCCTTATTTAATCGAAGAAAAAGAAGGGAGGAATACTCTCACACAAAATTATACAATGTGATTGCTTAAGAAATTCATCTAAGCTCTGCGACTTTAACGAGTTTCTATCACTATCAAAAAACTCTGAGGACTACTTTTTTGAATAAAATCCAAGAATAGATTAAAAGAGAAGGGAGGAGGGATTCTAGTAGCAGTAGTAGTAGTAGCGATAATGATAGTGATGAAAATTAGTGGAGCCAAAGAATAGGAGCAGTCATTGTCTTTTAAGACGGGCTTTGAGTCTGATTGTAAGTATTCTAATATATTAGACTAATTGTCTAATGCAACTATATAATATTTAAAGTATATTCTCCCATGCAACTCTGCAAAAATTTATTTTTATTATATCAAAAATACAAAAGATAATTTCTTTATTATGATAAATTTTACAAAATAATTTTAATAAAAATATATTTAGAACTATAAAAAAATCTTATTTTTTATCTGCTATGTCTTATTTTTCTCGTTCATAACAGATACTACAAGAATATGAACATGCTTATCAAATATAGAAGAATCTTT